AACAGAACAGAGACTAGAAGATCAACGCCGATTTATAACACGAAATAAAGTATTCACAGAAACAGAATTGGACGAACTGCAAAGGTTTACCCAGGGCAAAGAAATCAAAGCCTTACAAGAAGTAATTCAGAATGTAGAGGCAAACCAGGGGGAGTTGGCAGTGAAAGAATCCAGTAGAGATATACAACTGTTCTCATTTGGAAAACCAGGCACCTCTAACCCTCAGGAAGAACAAAACCTCTAACTAAAGAAATAAAAGAATTGAAACAAAGAATAACTGAGCATCTAGAACAGCACAAAAACAACAGAATAAGGCTGCCTGCATTGAAGCTTGTTCCAAAGGAAACAGCTAGCACAAGCATTAAAGAATGAAAATATTGCAATATCAAGTATAAGCACCAATCATGGCACATGAAACAAACCAATTAATGTACAGCACAGCTGCAGTTATAACAGAATACCTGGGGTGCAAAATCAACAAAGAAGAAAAACAAACAAACAGTGCACCAGAAAAATGGAAGGTTAGACTAGAAAATAAGATCAGCAAGTTAAGATCACATGCAAGCAAGCTAGAACAGATGAAAGAAAAGAAGCTGAAGAACAAGAAGACCAAAGAATACCTAATCAAGAAATACCACTTAGAAACAAGGAAGATCAAGGAAGCACTGGAAATAATAAAGCAACAAATAACAGCTATAGCCAGGAAAATCAGTAGATATGAAGCTCGAATTGCAAACTATAGGCAGAACCTCCAATTTCAATCCAATCAGAAACGTTTCTACCAATCCATCAATGGAGAAACTGCAAGGAATCAGTCAGTACCTGACAAGGAAGAAACAGTGCAGTTCTGGAAGCAGATATGGGATAACCCAAAGAAATACAACAAGGATGCGGCTTGGTTAAAAGAGGTGGATGCAAATAAAACAGAAGTTGAAATGAAAGAACTAGTAATAACAACAAAAATGGTAGAAAAAAGAGCAAAGAAAATCAAAAATTGGTCAGCACCAGGTGAAGATGAACTGCATGGGTTTTGGTTGAAACATCTAACTGTTATACACCCACTCATTGCCAAACAGTTCAACAATATACTACAAGGAGGAGAAATTGAAAAGTGGCTAACAACTGGGAAAACCTACCTAATAATGAAAAATCCAGCAAAAGGGGCAACACCAGGTAACTACAGGCCAATTACCTGCTTACCAACAACTTTCAAATTACTAACTGGTGTAGTAGCTGATGCAGTGCAACAGCATCTAGTTGAAAACAATCTCTTTCCACCTGAGCAGAAAGGAAACCGCCCCAACAGCAGAGGAACAAAAGATCAACTCCTAATAGACAAAATGATCTTGGAAAACTGCAAGAGAAGGAAGACCAACCTGAATGTGGCATGGATTGACTACAAAAAGGCATTTGACTCTCTGCCACATGATTGGATAATAAAGTGCCTAGAAATAACAGGAGTCAGTAGAAACATCAGAAAATTTGTGCAAAGATCGATGGCACAATGGAAGACACAGTTGCAGATCAATGGTGAGAGGCTGGGAGAGGTTAATATCAAGAGAGGAATATTTCAAGGAGATTCATTATCACCATTACTATTTGTTATTGCACTGTTTCCTCTGTCAACAATACTGAATAACTCAGGACATGGCTATCAAACATCAAAAACATCTGCCAGACTATCCCACCTCCTTTACATGGATGATCTGAAGCTGTATGGAAAAACATCATCTGAAATAGAATCGCTGCTCAACACTGTCCGTATATATAGCCAAGATATTGTAATGGAGTTTGGCTTGGACAAATGTGCCACACTTACTATCAAACAAGGAAAAATAGTGAAAACTGAAGGAATCAAGATGCCCCACGAAAATAACATTAAGAGTCTGGATGAGGAAGAGTACTACAAATACTTGGGTATCCTTCAAGCTGACAACATCAAGCACACTGAAGTCAAGAAAAAGATTAGAGGTGAATACATCAAGAGAGTGAAGAAGATCTTAAAATCCAAACTCAATGGAGGAAATACCATAAAGGCAATCAACACCTGGGCAATCCCAGTCATTAGGTACACAGCTGGAATAGTGGACTGGACTCAAGCAGAACTAAAAGCAATGGATAGGCAGACCAGAAAAATAATGACAATGAATCATGCCCTTCATCCACGCAGTGACATTGATAGACTTTATCTACCAAGGCAAATAGGTGGGCGTGGAATGCTACAAGTACATCAGATGGTTGAAGAAGAAAAAATGGCTTTGGAAGAATATCTGAAGAACAATGATGAAGATGCACTGAAATTAGTATATCAGGAAGGCTTACTGACTACTGGAGAGACCAAACTGGCCTACAAGAAAGACCAAATGAAGAACAGAATAGAGGCATGGGAAGACAAAGCACTACATGGCCAATACATGAAAAAAATAGCTGGGAAAGCAGATAATAATAAAACCTGGCAATGGCTAAGAGCAGGAAAATTGAAGAAAGAGACCGAGGGACT